GATGTATTTATTTATTTAATTTGGACACATTCCGCCCTCCATAATATGGAAGACGGAATGTGACAAAATGAAATAAAATAAACATATGATAATGAAATGTATCATTTAAATAATAAAAACATTATTTAATCATTAAATACACAATTAACTTAATAAATACACAATTAAATACATAATTGAATTATTTATTTCATTATGTATGAATTTATTTAATTTGGACACATTCCACCCTCCATATTATGGAGGACGGAATGTGACAAAATGAAATAAAATAAATACATAATAATGAAATGTATCATTTAAATATTAAAATAATTATTAAATCATTAAATACACAATTAAATACATAATTAAATGATTTATTTCGTGATGTATTCATTTATTTAATTTGGACACATTCCACCCTCCATATCAAGCCTCCTCGTCTCTTAGGTAAATTGTATAACCCATCCATACTTCAGATGTGTTTTTAAATTGTTTTTTTTTTCCCCTCAGTTTATATATTTACCTTTTTCAGTGCCAATCAAACAAAAGTCTGAAATACTTGTGTAATAACCACAAAATTATGTAGTAAGAATATCTACATAAAATATGGAGAAAGGACATTATGATCTTGGCTAAAACGTTTCCCAAAGTTTGTTTTTTCCCCTTGTGACAGTTTACAATCTCCTCTCAGTTATTACCATTTCTGGCCAGAATAAAGGCCAGATTTTCTAAAGATATTGTGAAATACGTTAGGCAGTTAACGTCAGCTTAACATTTTTAGCAGTTAAGGTGTTTGCAAACTTCTTTTTATTCTGGCAATAAAATAAATATCCTGTAGAATGAAGACACTTTTTTTGACCTTCCAGTAAGTTCAGAGCATGTTGAACCCATTCAAAGTGGTTTGGTTTGATTTTGCATCTATTTTTCCTGTAAACTCATATTTTGTAATTTTAAACACAAATGTCGTGACTTGGCTGCAGCGGATTTTGTGTGTTCAGCATTTCATTACAGTCGTTACAATTAAATACTATTTTCATCCCCAGTGCTTTAAACTGGGTTTACATTTCTTCTTAAAGTCCAATTGAAACAGATTAAAATCGTAAACTTACACTTTTGACTGGATTTTGTTTAAATCACAAATGATTGAACCAGACTTTGTCAAGAATTTTGCAAATTAACTTCAAAATGAAAACTGTTTGCTTAATTTCTGCGCAGTGCTCTTCCTGCCATTAGAACACAAATGTTCAGAGTTTCAAAATGCAGCACGCAGGCCATACCGTGGAAATGAAAACAACCCGACCACATCGTGCAAGTCCAAACCCATTTGTAAGGCACAGGCTGGATGTAGCTCTGAAATGTTTATCAAGCTGCTCTCTTTCCATTCGCCGATGTTGACATATCATATACCCTGAAAATCGACTCGCGTGAAGATAAAATAATTGAATCCAGAGAACTTTGTTTTGTGAGTTCAGATGTCGACAGAGAACTTCTAATCCTGCAGGTCACTCACGAATGAAAGGAAAAGAGAGAGAATAATATTTGAGATATTATTTTAATCCCCAATCATCATCATCAGTGTTTACTGCTGAAACATTTAAGTTTGATGAAACAGCTGCACGCACTGTAGATCACTAAAATTAAACATAACTAGAGAAACTGTATTTCCTGAAAAAATGCAGTGTGAATAAATGTTGCAGAACTTGCTGCAAAACAGCAGGTGAAATTAGCTAAAAGCATGCTAAAATGTAGCTGAAATGGAAGAACAAGCCTAAATTAGCAGAAGAAAACAGAAAGAACACACATTTGCTAAATTAGGTTTAAATAAGCAGAAATTAGCACAAAAATTAGGAAATTAGCTTAAAAAAGCTAAAATTAGAAGAAA